TTGGATAATAAAACTCAAATACAAATGGGGTATTTATAGGTTACAAGAACCAATATAAACCACTCATTAAAATAATCACAAAATAATTTAAACCATTGAAATTAAAAATAAGAAAAAATACCTAATTTTCACCTAACTAAATTGATGTAAGCAATGACATCAAAACTAAATTGATATAAGCAATGACATCAAAACTAAATTGATATAAGCAATGACATCAAATTAATTTAGGTGTGGACTTATTTAGGCTAATATTGATTTCTCAACATGATGCTTCGAGGATCAAGTGGATTGAAGCCAATGAAATGAAGACATGTGTCATCTTTTTATTGGTTGAAAATTATTAAAAAATAATATAATTATTTAAAAAAAATTGTTGACGTGACTTTTGTCACGTCATCACCTTTGCATATGTGGCATTTTCATGTCAGTGTGCGATGTTATGTAAGCTTGTCATGTCATCTCTATGCGTTAATCGTTAGTTGACTAATGTTTTTATCCAACTAGTGTGTTTTTTGACATAAAATGAAACGTTAAAGGATCAAATATTCCAAAAATAATAATACGAGCAAATTTGACATTAGTTTCAAACGTTAAGTTTATTTTGTTGCATTATGCCTAAAAATAAATCCTACATTCTAATCAACTTTTTAAAAGAATCCAAAATTATTATTGATGCAAGAATTGACAACATAATGAATAATAATAAGAAGCCGATAAAGGCTTGCGACATTTTATACTGTTGAATTATCACATGCGTTGACTAATTTGCATAGTGAAGCCGTTGAATAATCCCAATCAAAAAGCTTGTATTAATCCAAAAAAAAAAACAGTTGACCAAACGAAAAACTAATAATTTGAGCAATCAAAATTTCATCAAAATTTTGTTTAAATACCAAAAGGGAAAGAAAAAGCTTTTTCCAAACTGATAAAATGAAAGAAAATTTACTGTAATAGTTACGTGCAAGAATCTGGAGAAGCAGGCCATTTGTTATAGTCTTTGAGATTTAATGGAAGATAGTGAAGATAATAATAATCACTCCAATCAAGAATTGCACCTTTTACAACGCCTAATCTGCTTCCATAACCTTCATAAGTCTTGGGTGAATTAGCAAAAGCTTGTTTAATTTCCATTGGTAAATGGAAAAAGCGGCGCCAAGTTTCTCGTGCTTCATCCATTAATACAGGGCGAACTCCATGGTTAACGACTTGAAAAAACCCCACTCCGACAAACCGATGAAATTTGATCCATTGTCATTTGAGGAAGATTGTTTCCGTCTTCCGACAAGCCTGTAAGATCGATTATCGGGATATTTACACCGTTGTTATTAGGGTCATCGAGGTTTAACGAAGGTCTATCGGAAGCAGGCTTGACGTATCTATCTGGAATGCTTCGTAAGCCACTTTCGGACAAGGATTGGACTCGGATGACTCGTGTAAGTTGTTCATGGTGAGACAAAACTCAAAGAAAACTTGTTGGTTGACCTTGAGTGAGGATTTTATGAGAAGTGGAGGGCATGGGAATGAAGTGAAATAGAACGTCAAAGAAATGAGTATTTTAAATAAAGAAAAGGTGATTAAGAGACTTCTAAAATAAGTGAGATAATGTTGCCCTTTCCCTACATTAAAATATAGATTTTACATCATTGTACCACCTACTTAGAGGATCAAATCGGCTTTCAAATATATATATATATTGGTTTAGGGCAGTTTTCCATTGAATTCAAACCGGTTTTTGAGTAAAAAATTATTTTTGAAACTAAAAGTAAAGTCTAAAAAAATAATTTTTAGAATAAAAATATTTTTAAATCACTTTTAACTTTTGGATAAATTTAAAATATTATTTAAATTATTTTTATTTTATAATCGTGTCTAAAGTAAATATTTTAACTTTTCATAGTTCTTTTTGACAAAAATGTCAGATACTATGAATGAATAAGTCACATCCCAATTTCGAGGTTAGAGTTTTGAGAGTTAAATTGTAATTGTTTAAGTGAAGTACAAAGTATGATGGACTAAATTAAAAGAAATTCAAGTTTTGAAGGGCTTAATATGAAAGAATATAATTTTGATGGCTTAATCATCATGATTTGGAAGTTTGGGGACTCGAATGCATATAAATGATAATAATTGAGGGTTAAATTAGATAATTGCAAAGTTAAGAAACTCAATTGAAAGGAAATTAATATTATTAGTGATCGAGTTGAACATATTCAAAGCCACGTGTGTAGTTGAGGAAAAATGGGGACCAAAATGAAATGGGCTAAACTTGTGAATCCTATTGTCACTCCTCAAACCCGAGATAAGAAGTTTCAGAAACAAATTGCACATGTTTAAGTGAATTTCAATCTCTAATGGCTTAAATTGGAAGAAAATTTAAATTTCAAGGGTCATAAACTGGAGAAATGAAAAGTTTAATGTCAAGTGCAAAAATTCTAGGAAGTTGGACGCTTAACCCTGTGTTTTGCCCGTCAAAACTCTCTATATGAATTGTTCACATATTATATTTTATAATTTAATTTTATATAAAATTTCTTGAATTGAGTTATATTTATGAATTTCAAGTTGAATTAAATTATTTGAATTTTTGTGTAAATTTAATTGTAATTATTTATAAATATTGTGAGATTTTTTGTTTTTATTCCTCGATTTTCTCTGATCATATAATAAATAAATAAATATTTCTTCATATTCTTTTTAACATGATAATGTTATTTAATAAATCAAATATAATCTAAAATTATAAAATATATTTATAATATTATTTCTCAAAAAAGGATTTCAAGGATAAAGTATTAATAAGGGTATAACAAAGTCAATAAATTGATGAGAATAAATACGTTAAAAAAATTGTAATAAAAAACCAAATTAAGTAAATACAATACTAAAATATTACATTTAAAAATATTTTTAATTGAAAATATAGATTAAAGTTACAAAGGAATTATATGGTGGTAGAGGAGCATGTAATTTAAATTTGATAAACAAATAGATATAAAATAAATGATAAAGTGAAGAAACAAAGATTTATACTTAAAATAATAAATTGAAAAAAAAATAAAAAACATATTGTCAAAAGAAAGAATTGAAGATACATCTCACATGTGTAATCTAAAATAATTAGGAACATGGGATTTAAATTTAATAAAAAAAAATTGTACTTAAATTAAGTGAAGAATTGAATGAGATAAGAAAAGGGTAAATTACATACTTACTCATTAAACTTTATTATTTCTCCTATTTCATTCACCGTACTTTCTAATTTTTCAACCTACTCACTAGGTTTTGTACATTAAATTGTTTTGATCACTTATTCGATGACATGGATTATTTTATTATCTTCCCATATCACATGTCATTTTTTTATTAATATTTTAATGTTATTTAGGATTATAATAAAAATAAATTTAAAATTATTAAAATATATATCCAAACCAACAATCAGTGTCGCCACCACCACCACCCATCTAACAAACGGTGTTACTTCTATCGACTGTCAGAATCCGGTTATGGCACTCCTCCTCCCAAGCTGCAACCGCGCCTTCATCGATGAACGACGTGAAATCAATCCACCGCCTGCATATACTTCTAGTGTTATTACAGGCACCATGTTTTGTTATCGTAGAGGGAAAGGCAACTTTTATATCCAAGCAAACCCCAAGTCCAAAAACGATCTGATTCTCCTTGAATTTGGAATCACCACAGCGGCTTTGGCAAGGGAAATGAAACGTAAGTGATGATGGGTTTGGGATATAATTTGAGAATTTTAGTACAATTTAAGGGTATAATTGTAAGTTTCAAATTTATTTTTGTTTTAATCATATTTGGTATTAGAAATATTAATAAAATATGACATGTCATATGAGAAAATGATAAAATAATCAATGTCATCGAATGAGTGATCAAAAAAGTTCAGCAAATTGAAAAAACTAAAAGTAAGATGAGTAAAATAGGAGAGAGAATAAATCTCAGTGAGTAAACGTGTAATTTATCCATAAGAAAATCATAGATCAAATCATAAAATTATGAAAATACTCAATTATTTTTTATTTTTTGATATAAATAAAAATATTAAATTCAAATTGAGAATTGACCCAATAATTCAATTAAAATAAAATAACTTAGAATTTAAATTAATTTTTTAAATCAAATTTTATTCACCCTAATTACACTCAGTCAAAGAATGAGAGCGTCTCTCGCAGGACTGACTTGTGCGTAGAGATATATGGGGAGGTTTGGCGTGAAGTGTTGGGGATGGCACAGGGCGGTGTTGGCACTGAAGCGGTCGGTAGTGCATGTTGCTGGTTGGCTGTACGAAGGAATGATGTAGGATTCATTAAATGCATAAATAATATTTTTTTTAACTTTTCATTTATTTTATTTCTTCGAATAGTATAAAAATTATAAAATATTATTGATTCTGAATATTTCTTTGAATCCTTTAAAAATGGCATTTTTTTATTATTGTGATTATTCAATGAATTCATTTATTCTATTTTTTATTTACCCGAATATGGAAAATAATGTGTATATATATACTCTCAAAATATATACAAATATTTAATATCAAATGATTAAAAATGATCTTTAAATAAATATTAACTTATATTTATAATGATTAACGAGAGAGAGAGAGTTTTAACAACTAAACCCCACTTGAATAACTAACCCAATTAATCATCCCACAATCATGTTTACAGACCTGGCCCAATATACTAATAATTTAATCATTCAATTCAAAGTCTGATAATCAATTTTTTTTTATGAATTTAAGAAAAATTGCTTTTAATCATTTGAATACAATTTAAATTTTCACAATAATGTTGACTCATGTTAAATTAAAATTTTAAGTCTAATAATTATACTTTTAACTTAATAAAATTGTAAACTATAAACATTCAATGATAAAAGGAAATATTATTCTTTCTAAAAATTTGATTCTAACAGTTATAAAATATATAATTAGATCAGCATAAAAGAATTTTGGACCTTACAAATTGTGTTTGCATAGAACTTTATTTAATTGTTTCCTTGAAGTTTACACCACATGAATAATACAAATTTCGTTCGTTGGCAATTAGGCCATATGTTTGCTGAGTAAGTAAATGAAAAACTTGGCATTCTTGGGCTCCCACCTCAGGCCCCCATTAAAATCATCAACTATGGCAAAACCCCCTAAAAAAAGTATTTTTGATGTTCTCGTCCCCTATAAAATCGAATGTTGAAGACAAAGTTTACTAGAAAATCAAATGACCGAGTTACCGGAGCCCACCCCCCAGATGAAAGCCGAAAAGAGATGAAAATTGTGAATTCTCGGTTATTTGTCACGATCGAGCAATAATACGTGTATAAATGAATTCATTCCACGTGTCGGGTAACCCTGGAAGGCACCAATGGATACAATCAGCATATGTAGCCGGGTCAGCTTGTTGTTCCGGAGTTAACATTTTGCCTTGGCGAATAGTATGGACTGAAGTATGTGCATCTTTTCTGTACTCTGAAAGTTTCGTGATGTTAATCAAATGGACCGGAACTTTCATGTTCTCGATGATGTCGCTTGCAACCACGAACAGCCTACGATCAGTGCCCACATATAAGAACATGGACTGGTTCAGAACTGGTGTTTTCTCTAATGCACATTTGATGCCGCCAGGGTTGTTCCAGTCCGTGCTACTGCAATACATATATATGTATGTTTCAATGAAAAAGAAGCATTTATCCTCGATGAGAAACAGTTTGGTCTATTTATTATTAGTGATAGGTCATAGGCCCAGTGCCAACCACTTGGACTATAGTAAAAGTGATTCTTTATTCCAACAACTAGGAATACTTGTAGAAATAGAAACTTAGAGAAAAAGCAAGTGAATTTATTACTTAATATGGAGAGGAGACATGCTGCTGAAGAAAACCATGGTTCGGTTTGGATCTATATTTTTATCAACCCATTGAGACCATGTAGTTAATACTCTATTATATGCTGTTGGCCTGTCGATCTCATCATATTCCGTATCGCCTCGATCGAACGATCCTCGTCTGTTACATTAAGTGCTGGATCAGTTTCCAAAAAGATTATGATGCAATCAAATACAATAGTTTTTTGTGTTAGATTTACATACAAGACTTTCATGTTGAAAGTGTTCATCCACCAAATATACGTGTTGAAGACCAAATAATCAACTTCTTTCCAGTTCTTGCCGTGTTCTTCGATGGATTCGGGCATTATTATGCGATTCAAGATGCTATGCATGTCTGGGTCGTCTGAATTTGATCGCACCAGGAATGGTGCCCAATAAAACTCCACTGTCGCATTGAAATCCTTGGAACAAGCAGACAATAATTATTTCGTAAGTTTTTCTCTACGATATTGAATTACAGTTTATATATATTAATCACACCATGTGGCATGCTGTCATTGTTTCGTAAGTTTTTATCTCCGACATTGATGTTACAGTCTATACGTACTGACATCGTGTGACGTACGGTCATTATTTCGTAAGACAGACGGAATACAAGAAGTAACATTTCATCAAATATTGGTTGGTAAAGTGAGATCAACTTACCTCCATTCTAAACACTGCAAGAGACCCAGATTTTTTCCAGGTCTTCCTTCCAGGGGGAGCAACTGATTGAACCAGGCAAATCATGGATTCCCATTGATTTCTGTTCAATGAATCTCCAACAAACATAAGCCTTTTGTTCCTCAGCTTCTCAACCAGTAACCTTGATTTGTACCTTATAACAGTTTAAATAAAAGGGAAAAAAAATGTAAGAATCGTATAGAAAATAAGGATCCAATTTAAGAACTCAAAAGGATGGTCTTACTTTGGTAAATTACAATCTCTAGGCTGCCATCTCCAGTTCTGATACAAAGAATCTTTCCTTCCATTTCTCATGCAAGTTACTTGCGCTGTAAGAAACTCGCATTCATCTTCTTTGTATAAAGGACGTGTTTTATTGTCGAAAACCCATTGTCCATCGAAGAGATCACAGCTTTCTGGAGGCAATTCGACATCTTCATCGTCTTCTTCAATCACTGGTAGCTCAATCTTTTCTACTACTACTTCTTGTTCTTCTTCATCTTCTTTATCTGTCAGAACGATGGATTTCTTCAAATCTTGATCAGATTCCTTTGCGATTGTTTCCTCATCTGCTGTGTTCAATGAACCCACATTTTCTTTCTCCTTCTTCATTGATTCGTTAACTAGGTTTTCTTGCTTAGACCGTACCTCAAGGATTTCATTTTCACTAGCTTTAGGCCTTGAAAATGGGAACTCGGCTATGGATTTCACGTCCTCATTGTACATAAAAACACCGAACAAAAACACAGAGAAAACGACAACGAATATGGGGAGATTATTGTTTTTGCGGTGCTTCATGGTTTCAGTGAAGATCTTACGACGAGTTGGCTGCATGACGAAGAATATTTGGTTAGAACAGAGAAAGAGAAAGGGATGGGAAAATAGAGTAGAAAGTAAATTGAGCAAATCATCTGTTTGGGGAGAGAAAATATAAGGAATGGGTTTATTGTGTTTGTTTAATTAAAGTTTGGTGAGAAGGGTTTTCTTGTAGAAGCAGTTTTAAGATTTCTGTAGAGGGATAGTTGTCTTTCTCAATTCTATTTTACTTTTATATAAACAAATATCAATATTATACCATGACATAATTATAAGAATTAAGGGTCGTTTGTTTAACTGAAAACGTTTTTCGAGAAATGTTTTTCATAAAATGAATTATATTTTTTAAAAAATATTTTTTAGAAAACGTTTTACGATGTTTGGAAGATGTTGTTTAAATCATTTTTCCACTAGTTGATGAATTTTTTAAAAATTATTTATTACAAATATTAAATACAATAAATAAATATTATTTATCATAAAACTTAATATTATTGTTTTTAAAATATCAAAATAATTTATTTATTATTAAAATATTATTTTTATAATTTTATTATTAAACATATTAATATTGGTATATTTTATTGAAATAAAATTATTATAAATTATATTAATTATTTATTAAAGTAATAGTGTTATAATATATTATATTTTAAAAATATTATATCTTATATTATTGTAATATAATTGATTATTTTGTTATAATATTAAAAATATTATATTATATTATTAGAAATATTATAATAATTAATATTTTGATTAAAATGATATTAAAATATTTTATTAATATTAAATTCATAAAATAAAATTATTTTGAGTATTTATTCTTTGAAGTGAAAAGTTCGGAAAATGACTTACGGAAAATCAGACCGTAAGTTATTTTTCAGAAAACACAAAGGAAATTTTGTGTGTATATATATATATATATATATATATGATTAAATAAAAATACTTTTTTGAAAATTAATTACAAGAAAAAGTGATTATTTTAATTAAAATCAGTCCCGCATAAGAGTAAAAGTGGAGTGATTTCAAAGCTTGGTGAAGATGGTCTTAATCTACCTAAGATTGAGACTTTAATTTGGTGGGTAATAGTATACCCCATCTCGGTTAGATTCTGATATGGAACCTTCATCTCATATACCATATTTCATCATAGATTTCCTTAAAAATTCAATTCAGAAACCCTTTGCGCAATATGCAAGATCATCATGCATGTGGATTGTTCATATATATAATTATTAGATACAAATATATTTGTTTTTCAATAAATATATTAAAAAACTTGAAAATTATATTTGGAATCGAGTTTGTTATTTGACACTCTTATAAATTAATAAAATTTTGTTTGATTAAGTTTATTATTTGACAGGGACAAATACACAAATTTATGTTAAGTGTGTAAAGTAAATGAGTTATATTATAAATTTAGAGGATGTGGAGTTATAAAATTTTAGGAGTAAAAAATTACATAATTAATAGAAAATAAAAAGATAAAAAAATAATTTTTTTTTTAAAAAAAATACGACCGCATCCGAACATCCCTCTGTAACACCTCTTCGGTCCACCTTGTTATTGGGTCAATTACCCTAAATAAATTAAAATTTTCATAATGTTATGTTAGTCTGTTTTTAATTTGGACAACACATAAAGCAATGAAATGAATCCCAAACAATAGTTTGATTTGTTAATAAACAAATGACAATTGTTTGGTGTATTGTCAAAAAATATATTTTGATTCCATAATCATCTAATTTTTGTTGTATTTTTTGTTTAAAAATAAAAATTAAATGTGGAATTATAATGTTAAAAAGTTCACCGAATCATCCTTTCAAATGTCAATGTTTTAGCCCGTGAAATGTTAACAAAACTCTCTAAATCGTCATTATTATTTATTAACTTCCACAAACCAAGAAAATATTGTACATATATTTACACATCCTTTTCATTAAAATATTAATAAACGATAAAACGTAGTGAAGTCTACTTTTTCCGCTCCAACTATAAGGAATGAGCAGTTGATGCATTCTCAAGGCTTATGACATTGATGATGTTCTTTCCTTATCCCCCCCCCCTCTTTTCCAGCAATTAAAATATTTATATAAAACATGTTAAATCCTATAAATATGCGTACAATTGTTTAATAAATATAATGTATCTAAATGTATCTTATAAAATCCTACAAAATGTCTGTTTAAGGAGTAAAAAATCATATGTGCTGGGCATGTGAAGTTTCTAACATCACATACTTCTTAGCGGTAGTTTGAAGGGTGAGCTATCACTTTTATTCGAAGCAAGCCAACTATACCGACTACTCACTATTATATACAATACTTGCAAATAAAGACAACCGGTTTTTGCACCATCTTCACGTCTTCTTTGTACGTAAGGGCATACACAAATATACTTATGTAATGCCCTGAATTTCGGGTTAGTAGTTTTAGTCAACCCGAGACCCGTTAGTAGAGCCCATTAGATTTTCCAAGCCAATTTTAGATCATTTCTTAAGAGTATTGGGCTTAGGTTGGCCCAATAGTTATAGGAAAATAGTGTTTTTAAAAGAAAGTAAATAGGAGAAGGACCTAAAGTGTAGTTTACCCTTTTTGTTAAAGCTGAAAACTCCCCCCCTCTTTTTATATAATTTCACGTAATCAAACTCCCCATAATATCTCACCCACTTTTCTTCTTCTTCCTTCCTCCTTCCATTAGTTTCCATTTCTTCTTCCTTTCAAGAGCCAAGTTTCAAGTATTCTAAGCTTAGTTTGTTGTAGCCAAGGTAAGAATGTTTTCCTCCATCCTTCAAGCTTTGTTTTAAGCTCCATTGTGTAAGTTTTAGAATTTGTTTTCAAAAATGGGTTTTATGGAAGTTAAGGGGATCCATGAATCCAAGATTGGTTATAGTGTATTCAAGTTACCTAGAGCATCTTAAACTTTAATCCAAAAGCTTAATTAGTTTAGTAAACCCTTTTCTTGTCTTTGTTTAGTAAGGGAGGTGGCAGAAAACTCTAAAGCAAGAGGGAAAGAGAAGTTACCCCTTGGTTAACTTGATAGAGTTTCTAGCAAGCAAGAAGCAAGGTAACACACTACCAACTCTTCCATACTTCTAGTGATCATTAGAAATGAGTTCTAACTTGAGAGTAAGTTATGTAGCTTAGAGTTATATGTTAATGATAAATTACATGATTTATGTTATAAGCATGATATAAATCCTTATTTATGCTCCTTGTAATCATATAAGACTTTAAAGAATGTTTAGGGACCTCACTAGGGTCTTTGGGATTGAAATATAGTATTTTTGTCTGTGTTTTATGACTTCTACGGGTAGAGTATCGATACTATGGGGATAGTATCGATACTTGTTCTTCATTTTGGGAAAATTCATGAGTTTCTGGGAAAGAATATTGATACTCTTTCAAGAGTATCGAAACTTTGGGTCATAGTTTCAAAACTCTCATAAAGTTCCGAAACTGGGTAGAACATAATGTTTAAAACCATCGGTACTTATATAAAGTATCGAAACTTTTGCAAGAATATCGATACTCTTGGGCTAGTATCGATACTTTCAGTCTATTTTGGGCAAAAATGCCAGTTTTTAAGGGAATTAGACTCAATGTATCCCAACACTTTAGTATTTCCTCACATAAGACTTCAAGTGAGAACATTAATGATGCTCAATTCAAATGTAGAAAAAAGAATAATGTAGGGTGAAATAAGACTAGCCTTGTTTGAATACTTGGGAAAACAACCAGGACACTCGAGTTCCTTTAGAAAAGATAACATAGTCAAACGTATAGATTCAATTAGGATATCCTTAGAGAGTGCGTAAGGCACTTTAAGCTGACTAGTTTGGGCGTAAGGTCCGACACTCAAGGAGTGGGCTAGTCTAGAGTGTAGTGTCCAATGAAGAGATTCTAGGGGCTATATTCTCGGTAGATTAGAGGGGTGTGTGAGCTCTGAGATGCAAAACCCTCACCCGCACCATGATATCTACCATAGAATAGAGAGTGAGTATACGAGTATACTCACTAAAGCAGAACAGAACAGACCAGTAGACCAGATAACACTAGACTTGATAGCTTGAGCATTTCAGCGATAAACTTTTAGTATATTTTAGTTGTTAGTGTGTCACTAAGATAGTTAGCTCATCCTTCAGATTATTTTCTGTGGGTAGGTCAGTACATTGAGAGTTCGAGGAGCAGTAGATAGATTAAGGTCTAGATCCATTGCATATTCAGAGTACGTCTCAGCAGTTTTTGAAGGGCAAGTTTATTTTATAAACCCTGTTGTATCAGTTGAGTTGTAAATTTTGTTAAGAGTCAGTTTATAATATTTTGATTGTAAATATTTATTTTAGGAGCTCCCAGTATAAAGTTTTAAATTATATTATTTCATGGATGTTTTATTTGTGGAAATGATCGTTTTATAGTACAAGAAAAGAGTAACGTGTTGGTAAGCCACTATGGTGGTTGCGTGTGGCATCCTACATCGGTCGACTATGTGTCGTACTGGTCTAGGTTGTTACAACTTAAGTATCAAATTTTATATTTTTCATAAATTTTATATGATTAAAGTCATCTTAGGATGTTATAACACCCAAAACAATTTAAGATAAACCAAACGTTTAGTATCTAAACTATCATTTTTGTTTTGTTTTGGTATTTAAATTTTATTTTTTTTCTAAATCATACCTAATGTGTTGTTTAGGTTTAATTTGATACCTACCATTAAAAAATTAACACTACTACTGATATGGTATTTTTTTTATTTTTTCAATGATGATGTGCCAATAGCTTATGGTGACAGGTTAACATCACCGTTAAGTTTTCAATGGCAGGGTACCAAAATAAAATCTAAAATAAATGTTAGGTATGGTTTAAAAACATAAAGTTTAGATACCACTATATAATAAAAATAAATAATTTAGATACTAAATGTTTAATTTATTCAACAATTTATTTATACTCCTATGTATCACACTAGAAGAAAATATACCTTTAATGGCACACGAACGATGACACACACTAATTTATGACTTGCAAAAATGTGTGTCATAAAAAAATATCATGTTTTTTAAAATCTGAACGGTTTATGACTTACAACAATGTGTGTCATATTTAATAGTCATAATCCAAAAAATTTGCAAAAACACGGAGTACACTTTTAATTGTGTGTCATTTGTAAAAGTCGTCTTTTAATTCCCCCCCCCATTATTTTCATCCTTTCCCGCTTCTTCCCCCCTCAATAACCAGTTCACGCCGCATGCTTCCCCCCATTTTCTCTTTTTCCCTTTTTCTCTTTGTATCAGTCCACTGGTTTCGCCATTCACCACAACGCAGGCGAAGGGAGTCAAAATTCAAGGGTTTCCATAGGTATTATTTGTTCTCTATTCCACCATTCAATTTGGGTTTATTCCAGTTTCGATTGGGTTTTTTAGATTTTATGAATGGGTTTTTAGAATTATTACAGAGTACACCTGAGTTTCAGGAAAGATATGGGTTGTTTTTTTTATCTGTTTGATACCTTCGACTATTGTCTCATTTTAATTTTTGTTTTTGGGTGCTTTTTAACTTTTTCGATATTTACCCCTCCTTTTACAATATCCAAGGTATTTGAACATTGTATGAATTGCTTCCAAACTAACTTCCAATGCTAAATACTAGAACCACTAAGATCTGAACTTGCAAATCCTATAAATGCATCTATTTTCATGTGAATTTCTTCGAATGCAATTCACCCTTGTTCATTGTTGAAATTGTTCTGTCTCTAATATGTTTGATTGTTTATAATGCTATGTTTAAAACTATTAATAAAATGGAAATAACATATTATTAAAGCAGGAGTGTAAACTTGTTCTTTGGTGGACTAGTGTTGAAATTTGCACTTCTTGATGGAAGAATAAGGTGCATAGAAAAAGGGATTCACATTCTTGTTTATCATGCTGGTCAGTTATCGTTAATAAGAAAGATTGGCAGCATAGTTCACATTGTAGTCTTTAGTTTCAATGGCTATGCTTCTATTTTCTAAAATGTGTAGGTTTAAAATGATGAATTTGCACCAAGTTCTAAAAATTCATCCTTTTTTTCTAGTTTAATTATGAGTAATCGTATATTTTTCTATTTATAATTGGGACTGATTATTGAAAATTTAACGAGCATATGAGAGGGTTTACATGAAAACATATTGTGTATATTGTGACTGAAAGTGAAACTAAACTATCTTAAACCAAGTCATGCTTTTCAGCTTAAAGAATATATGTCTTAACATGCCGGGCTCTTACCCATTATATAGGTTGTTTACTGTTGCTTAAACAGTTAGCGCAAACTACTACTTTTGTGTTTTTCAATTATTTACAAGGTTAGATTTCTCTATTACTTTCAAATATGTAGCGAATTTTGTCTGATGTTGCTTGTTAAGATAAATTTTGTTTCACATGACCAGCTGAAACTTTAATATACATAATATATTACTACATGAATAGATCTCAGAATGGTCACCTTACTCTTAGGGAGTTGAAACGTGGAAACTTGATTGACGCGATGCTACATGCTGATGAGGAAGAGGACATTAATAAATTTTTGAGGTAGGGACTTGGCTTGGAATAAATAATTGCTTTTGGATGCATGCTTAATACATTTTGTCTGATACTGATTATTTTCGCTTTGCAATCTCTCTTCTTCTATACTATATATACATGTACTTTTCATATGAGCACTTTTACGTGATATACTGCAAGTTTTGGGAGCTGGATACAGATCATGATTTCTTGATTGACAAGGAGAACCTTATCAGATATTGTAACCATGCGCTTACCTACCGGATTGTTGATAGGATATTTTCTTAGGTTTGTCTGTGTCATATGCCATTTTTGTTCCTTGGTCCAAACAACATTCTATATGCAGAAGAACATTTTCATTTAATTGAACTGTCCATTCCACTTTCCTTTTCTATCACTTATTTTGTGTCATTGATTGACTTAATTTTATTCACAAGTTTGGAACTTTCACTCATGTTATGCTTCCATACCATTAGGTTCCAAGAAAGTTTACCAGTAAGGTCGAAGGGAAGATGGGGTATTAATATTTTGTTTACTTCATCCTTGCAGAGGAGGACAAGTCATCCGAGCCTAGTCTTGAGTACTGGTATGTTTGTGCTCTTTCTCTGTAGAATCAAGGGTATCATGTTTGATTTTGTTCATGAATTATTAATTTTGAAGTTTATCTTCTTAGTGATTAAAGTAAATATACCCTCTACTTATTGTATAAATTCACTTGTTTGAAAAGTCCCCCAAAATATTTGAAATGACATTGTTTTGCACTCATAAAAAATTTTGAAAATATTTTCAGAAGCTACCATTTGGGAAATTAATCTTGCTCAAAGAAAAATTTAACTAATGTAAATGATTCATAAGAATTTTTATAAATATTCCATAACTTGCTGCTGCTACTGTATGAGGGTGAGAAAAAGCAATGTGTTTTGAAAGGGTGGAGCTTCTGGATGATCACAATGAGATTGGAGTTCCAACAATTTACAATTTTTGGCTAGTTTTTCCAATATGGTTTTTTTCCTTTTCTAGGTTCAAGTGTATAGATTTGGATGGAAATATTGGGATTCTAACACGTAACGAAATGCAATTATTTTATGAGGAGCAGTTGCATCGAATGGAATGCATGGGACATGAGCCCGTTATACAATGAATTGCTTTTACCATATCTTGGTTTGGGATTTTAGGTCCTGAGTATTCACTGAATGCTCCTTCCTATACACTGCAAATGAAGATAGAATGTTTTACATGTTTAGCTATGTCACATTTGCAGGATGAGAGCTATGTCACATTGCGTGATCTGAAAGGCTCTAAACTTACTGGAAGTGTTTTCAACATCCTTTTTAATCTTAACAAATTGTAGCTTTCATTTTGACTAATTGTTTATTGTAAACTATTTGTAGTGTCCCCGTCATTCGGGAGGTACCGAGTATGGATATTATATTTGTAAGTTCATGAAAGAGATAGTCAATAATGGACTTGAAGTGCTGGTCAATAAGAATGTATGCAAACTTTTCTGATACACATATGTCATATCATACATACACATTAGTCATACAACTATCATATGGACTTGAAGTAGGATGCTATTCTAAACAAATTAATTCAAGTACTTGTTAGCAAGACTGAAAACTGTGAATTAGTGTCGTGATAATGTATATAATTTATATGGGAAGTTTTACTAATTAAATGTGTAAAATTTATTTTTACATATGCTTCAAAGAATGCATATGTAAAATTAGTCATTTTAGTACTCTTTGATAGTTATATGCTTCACTTTAAATAAGTATAAAATATATACTTATTTCATATTTTTACTTAGGTTGGTAATGGGAATGAAGAATACACGGATGATGACATTGATGATATTCCAAAGAATGGGTATCTTATGTGGCAAATTTTATTATGTCGTGATATTTTGTATCGACATATGATTACAATATTTTTGATAACTTAATATGAATATATTGTATGCAAATAGATTGCGTATATATAATATGATATATATATTTAGTATTATGAGGCATTAAATGTGATTTAGTTTGATTATTTGTCAATCTACAATATATATATATATATATAATTTACGACATACAATCACGACACATGAATGTGTGTCATCTTTTCTAATGACGTGTGCTTCAATGACACGCAATGTAAGTCATACACGCGTGTCATAAATTTATGACACACAAATGTGTGTTATCTTCATTTATGACGGGGGCTTCAATGACGCTCAATGCGCGTCATAAATGTGTGCCATAAATGCGTTTCATAAATGCGCGTCATAGATTTATGACACAAAATTACGTGTCATCTGAGATTTGTGTCGGTGGCTTCAATGACGCGCATTTGTGTGTCATCTGCACCCATAGATGATGTGCAATGAGCATCATTAAAGGGGTTTTTCCTAGTAGTGTCAGTTTGAAAAATCTAATAAAGTAAAGTTTATAAGCAAGACTCTTTTCCTGTAACTGTCATTTAGTCATAACATCTTGAAATATCTGAAAAGGGAAAACACAAAAAATGAGGTGAATAATAGAGTTTAGTACAATTAACCAATGTAAAATAATAAACATAGAAACAATTGAAAAAAAACAATTACAACTTTCCTGAAATAAAATTAAAAAGATAATATGATAGCTTGTAAGTCTCTAACTACCCAATCATTCGTTGAGCTTTTAATTAGGACAAGATTCCCTAGAACCCGTAGCTTTGAAACATCAATTGGTAAATAAAAGAACCAACAAAATGGATGTTATCGACTAATACATTGATTAACCACCATAATAGGTTAGGTGTTGTCAAATAGATTATGGTCGAACTAGAAAGTGGACATTATCTATCACATAATGATTAAACCAATGGAATTATCAATTTAATCACGATTGAACCATCAAATACTTCCTCCTTCATATCCTAACCCATGCAACAAAATATATATGGCATGTTTTTACAGAAGGTAAATGATATGATCACCAATGACAAGGGCTCAAAGAAAATTCCTAATGGACCTATTACACGTGCTAGGGAAAGAAAATTCCAAGCAACCATGGAAAACTTGTTTTGTCAAGATTGGGATGTGAGAAAGGAAACACCAAGTTTTATGGAGTACTACCATCTTTTACTTATGCATGAATTTGTATAAGTATTAATAGTTTGCATCATTAAATTTGCATGAATAAATAAACATGCTGCTTAGTTCAAAACATGTACTTCATTTAGCACATATTTCAGTAAAGCATGTAGTTTCTTTAAGCATGCATGTAGTTCATTATGGTATTAGTTCCTTTAAGAAAGCTACTTCATTTAAGTATGCTTTTTTATTCAATAAAGCTAGTTCACTAATTAAACTAGTTCATTAGTTAAGCTAGCTCCTTTAATGTTTGCCTGACATGTCTATTTTTATTTTATTCTCAAGGTTGAATGTGTTCTAACTTTGTGTCTAGGTGCATGAATGTTTTTAGACGAGTTTGAACAAAAGAGAGACTTTTGATATGCTACAAAGGAGACAAGAATTTAAGTCTTTCATTTAAGTATTTCTTTATCATCTTTTTGAAGGCTTTTCGAATTCTGTAAGGACACATGTAATGAAGGCCTTCTTAATTCATACCATTTTGACATTCATGAAGGATAAATGGAATGAAAATGAGCATGGAATTCCAAGAAACACTCTCCCTTGGACGCATAAGATGTCTACATACATTCAACATGTCCACATTTATCCTCCACATTTTTCATAAGAAAACAAACAATGAAAGTTCAAGAGTCTTTATTCCTTTGGATGAAAATGAGTCTTCATTCAACCTAGAAAATGTCGAAATTCATCCTAGGCTCTCTAAAATATTCGGCTACTAAGGGAAAAGAGAATAGACAATGCATTGAGTATTCATCACTATTAAGATGAAGCATTCATCTCCTTTATGTGGCTCTTCATATTTAGCCTATGAACACTATAACTAAGTATCTTTTCTTTCATTGTAAACACACAACTTTGATAGATAAAACCTCTTTATGAGTTACTTTCTTTATAGTTCTTTTGAGAACTTTATCAGCTTTAAGTTTGATCTTGTGGCATTCATCCATTCCATTGTTTTATAGTGTTGGTTCCTAGCTTCTTATAGCTAGTGGGCCATGTTCTATCCCCTACCACTTCAATCCATTCTATTATATTGTTGGTTCCTAGTTCTACATAATTAGTGGGTCATAATTCATTTTTGTCCATACTACACATCATACGCCAAATAACCCATTACCTTTATCAATCTTCCATTTCATATAAACTACATCTTCTATCTCTTTTCCATATTCACCAGACAAACAACAACATTCCTTCCAACCTTCCATTATCACTATTAACATATCATTTATTTCTTTTTATTATTGTAAGTTCATTTCAGAGTTCAAGTATTGCAAAGTCCATCATTTACTAGAATCACGATCGGGTAAACATCTCATATGACTCGTTAACATCATAACCATATTCATATCATTTGGTATCAGTGCTACGAAAATTCAATAAGTTTCAATTTTTCTCTCCCAAAATAGAAAAAGAAAAAAATCAAAATCAAAAGTTTTAAAGAGAGATTGTAACAACCATATCACGTATACCTTTCCGTACACGAGATATAGAGGTTAAATCACTTTATAAAACTTTTTGTCATTTAAAAAACTGTAAAAAATTGTTCCAATTTGATCAACTACAAAGTATGATTTTAATTATACTAAAACTATCACTTAAGTACATTATAAAATGTGTACTATAGTTTAATTACATGTCAACTAAGTTCTCATAATGAATAAAATTGTCATAATATTATTGATGAGTCAACCTTTAATTGATGAAAGTTGCTGCTACTACTATACTCCTTACACAATTAATCTTTGTCTTTACCTACACGTGAAATAAACACACGTTATGTATTTACTTAGTGAGACATAATACTGCAAAGATATTATAATTATACTACAATATCTTATAAATACTGAATAAAGACTTTAATTTCATCATTCATAAGGACCAATTAAGCCCTTCTAAATTAAACCATAATTCTTTCATACCATCATGAAAATTATTCTTAGTATGTCCATCATACTTATCCTTCTGTATGCTTTCCCCCATTTTTTCTTTTATTTGCTCTGTATACATTAAATGTGAAAGTACTATACATGTATTGCACCTATGTGCTAATTGACATGTATCTTTTATAATCATTATGGTGGCACTTTAAATACTATTAATACACCGTTTTGTAATTTCATTTAGGTATTCTTTTATACCCATTATGTTATGTTTATGTTTTCCTTTATAACATCCCTTCATACGAGTTATGCATTATTGTACATTATATATATATATCATCCCTTCATATCCCTTATATATCATTCATATCACATTACATTATAATTCATTTATTCTTTTACCCAAATGTATTTAACTTTTCACTTAACTTGCATGTTTGACACTTTTCTGTCAAATGCACAACTAGTCCATTATTCTTTTACTCAACAGTGTTTAACCTTTCATCTTTTACTTGACAGTATTTAATCGTTCATCTAACTGGCTTAATTGACACCTTTCTATCAATTGCACAGTTAAGCCATTATTCTTTTATTTTAGAGCAGTCTCTACTATAATAATCATTCCTAGTATCAATTAACCCTTCCAATCATTATACATTCTATTATTTATACCCATAATGTCAGTGCAATAATACCAAAAATTTTCTATAATTTAGATGGATACTCATCCACTACAATTACAACAATTCACCTTATATATACATAAGTATTTCATTAATAACATTCATTCATGTTTATCATGCACCATTATGCATTTCCAATTATAACATTCTTTTAGGTTGATAATGCATCCATATATATTTCAACGTTGGCATCCTGTCATGACAATAATGCACCCATATGCATTATTCTTTTATGCTGATAATGCACCCATATGCATTTCAGCTATGTCATCCTTTCATGCAATAATGTACCCATATGTATTATTCTTTTATGCTGATAATGCACCTATATGCATTTCAGCTATGACA